TCTAGGTCTGGGAGACCTGGAGGAGGCCTCCCAGGCCTGGACCAGCCTACCGGAAGTGCATAGATGTCACTTCCGGAAGTCTGTTCTTGGCCTGGTGGAGGCCTACCAGGACTAGAACGGCCCACCGAAAGTGCGTTGATGTCACTTCCGGAAGTCTGTTCTAGACCTCCCAGGCCTAGAACAGCCCACCGGAAGTGCATAGGTGTCACTTCTGGAAGTCTGTTCTAGACCTCAGAGGCCTACAGCTGCCCAATTGAAGTGCGTTGGTGTCACTTCCAGAAGTCCGTTCTAGGCTTGGTGGAGCCCTCCCAGGACTAGAACGGCCTGCCGGAAGTGCATTGATGTTGCTTCCGGAAGTCCGTTCTAGGCCTCAGAGGCCTGGAGGAGGCCTCCCAGGCCTAGAACAGCCCACCGGAAGTGCATAGGTGTCATTTCCAGAAGTCTGATCTAGGCCTCAAGAGGCCTAGAGCAGCCCACAGCAAGTGCATTGATGTCACTTCTGGAAGTCTGTTCTAGGCCTGGGAGGCCTGGAGGAGGCATCCCAGGCCTAGAACAGCCCACCGGAAGTGCGTTGATGTCACTTCTGGAAGTCTGCTCTAGGCCTGAGAGACCTGGAGGAGGCCTCCCAGGCCTACAGCAGCCCAAAGGAAGTGCATTGGTGTCATTTCCAGAAGTCCGTTCTAGGCCTGGTGGAGCCCTCCCAGGACTAGAACGGCCCGCTGGAAGTGCATTGATGTCACTTCCGGAAGTCTGTTCTAGGCCTCAAGAGGCCTGGAGGAGGCCTCCCAGGCCGAGAGCAGCCCACAGGAAGTGCATTGGTGTTACTTCCTGAAGTCTGTTCTAGGCCTCGGAGGCCCAGGTGGTCTTTGAATCCCACCACTGCCCCCAGGGCCCGGATGATGGAGTCTCTCCTTAGACACCCCTGTGCCTCTTCCCTACGGGAACGCCTGCAGGACAATATAGGGATAGGACTGCACTAGTGTGTGGGGGTGTGTGTGTCAGCAGGCGCACAACAGGCAGGGGTCTGCTCTGCTTCTCGCCGGACCCGCTCCGGAGGGCAGCAGCAACTGGGCTTTCCAAGGCAGGGGTCCCCCAACCTCCCGGTCCGTGGGCCAGTAGCGGGCTGCGGCACGACGGCAACCGGTCCACACAAACCAGCCAAGCCCAGGCAGTGCACGAAACTACGCAACTTCTGGTCCACGGAAAAGCCTTCCTCCACGGAACCAGTCCCTGGTGCCCAAAAGGTTGGGGGGGCTCCTCTGCTCTGAGGGCCCCAGGTCTTTCCTGCTCTTCGCAAGGGGGGGCAGGGGCTTCCGGGCAGGGTGGGTGCGGCTGAAGGCCCGGCCCAAGCAAGGCGCTCGTGTCTACGTGGGGGCCAGTCACCTACACGGCAGCCTCTCCGGCATGCGTGTGTCGGGCCGTAAAGCCCCAAGGACACATCGGGATGGGGAGACAAACCTGGCTTCACGGCAGCCAGTGTGAGAGTGATCTCGGCCTCTTTGCAGACAATCTGATAGGAGACGACGAAAAAAGTCCACACAATCCTAGGTTGCATTAATCTATTCTGTATTCTATTCTTTTCTGTGTTCTATTCTATTCTATAATTCTATATTCTATTCATTGTTCTAATCTATTCTGTGTTCTATATTCTGTTCTAGTCTATTTCCTATTCTACATCCTATTCTATTCATTGTTCTATTCTGTATTCTATTCTATAATTCTATATTCTATCCTATTCTATATTCTGTTCTATTTCCTGTTCTATATCCTATTCTATTCATTGTTTTAATCTATTCTCTGTTCTATTCTGTATTCTATTCTATATTCTATTCATTGTTCTAATCTATTCTGTATATTCTATAATTCTATATTCTATTTTATTCTATTCTATATTCTGTTCTATTTCCTATTCTATATCCTATTCTATTAATTGTTCTAATCTATTCTGTATTCTATTCTGTATTCTATAATTTTATAATTCTATATTTTTTAATTCTATATTCTATTCTTTGTTCTAATCTATTCTGTATTGTATTCTATTCTATAATTCTATATTCTATTCTATATAATTCTATATTCTATTCTATTCTATATTCTATTCTTTCCTATTCTATATCCTATTCTATTCTATTCATTGTTCTAATTTATTCTCTATTCTATTCTGTATTCTGTATTCTATTCTATACTATATTCTATATTTTATTCATTGTTCTAATCTATTCTGTATTCTATTCTATATTTCTATATTCTATTTTATTCTATTCTATATTCTGTTCTATTCTATTTCCTATTCTATATCCTATTCTATTCTATTCATTGTTCTAATCTATTCTGTATTCTATTCTATAATTTTGTAATTCTATATTTTATTCTGTTCTATATTCTACTCATTGTTCTAATCTATTCTGTGTTGCATTCTATAATTCTATATTCTATTCTATTCTACTCTATAATTCTATATCTATTTTATTCTATAACTATATTCTATTCTGTATTCTATTCTATTCTATATTCTATTCATTGTTCTATTCTATTTTATAATTCTACATTCTATTCTATTCCTATTCTAATGTTTTGGCTGGAAAAGGAGACAATTGGGCCTTCGAGGGAGGGGCTGCTTCCCAGAACACCCACTGAAGCCGGCGTGAGGTTAATTTTTGTCTGACCTCAGCCCCTTTGCGAGCAATCCTGCTGCTTTGTCGGAGTTCAGCTGGGCACAGCGGAAACGCCGGACTCCTCAACCCCTCACTTTGGGGGCGTGTGTGTGTGAGTGTGTGTGTGTGTGGAAGCTGCTGGCCGATGTGACTCATCGGTGCCAGCTGCAGACCAGAAAAGAATTATGAAATCAGTGCCAAGATCAGACGCAGGAAGAGGAGGGCAGCCGGGCGCCCGAGAGAGGATCCCTCCCTGGCCTTCAATCCCAGGTCCTCTTTCCCTCTTCTTCCTGGGAAGGCGACCCCGTCCTTCCCAGAATCAGAAGAGAGCTGGAAGGGACCTCGGAGGTCGTCTAGTCCAGCCCCCTGCTCGAGCAGGAGAACGTATCCCATTTCAGACAAGGGGCTGTCCAATCAGGGAGGGAGGGAGGGAGGGAGGAAGGAAGGAAGGCAGAATAACACAGTTGGAAGGGACCTTGGAGGTCATCTAGTCCAGCCCCCTGCTCAAGGAATGATGATAATAATAATAATAATAATAATAATAATAATAATAATAATAATAATAATAAAGTTGGAGGGGACCTTGGAGATCATCCAGTTGGGCCTCCTGCTCAGGCAGGAAACCCTACACACCATTTCAGACAAGTGGTTGTCCAGTCTCTTCTTCTTCTTCTTCTTCATAATAATAATAATAATAATAATAATAATAATGTTGGAAGGGACCTTGGAGGTCATCTAGTCCAGCCCGCTGCTCAAGTAATGATAGTAATAAGAATAATAAGAATAATAAAGTTGGAGGGGACCTTGGAGGTCATCTAGTCCAGCCCGCTGCTCAAGTAATGATAGTAATAAGAATAAGAATAATAAAGTTGGAGGGGACCTTGGAGATCATCCAGTTGGGCCCCCTGCTTAGGCAGGAAACCCTACACCATTTCAGACAAGTGGCTGTCCAGTCTCTTCTTGAAAACGTCCCGTGTGGGAGGTGGAAGGGACCTTGGAGGTCATCCAGACCGACCCCCTGCTCAGGCAGGAAAGCCTACAAGGGGCTGTCCAGTATCTTCTTAAAAACCTTCCGCGTCGGAGCCCTCACAACGTCCGGTGGCAGGTCATTCCACGGATTAATTGAAGGGGGTTGACAATGACTGTACTAATCTATATTAGTATCTTTGGGGGGGGGTTTTGGCCCTTGCTTTTCTCCCCATTAAATCCATTTTTTTAAAAAAAATAAGATTTTCTTAATTTCCCCATACATACCACAATCATTTTTCAACCAACGTGCTGTCTTGAGTTTAGATAAGCTGATACATATTTCATTCCTAATCCTATATTCTTTTTTCTAGCCGTCGGTAAAATAAGCCCCAGTTTGATAATATTCTGTTTCTTTCTTTTTCTTTCAGTCTCAGAGCCAATCTGTCCATCTCTGCGCATTCTGGTATTTTTTTTTTTTAATTATTTCTTTATCCGATGGTGTGCCTTCATTTCTCCAGTGTTGTGCAACTATTATTCTTGCCGCTGCTGTGATGTGTAAAATCAAATATAGGCTTTGTTTGTTGATCTTTTCTGGCCTTATACTTAATAATAATAATAAAAAAGTTCATTTTTAAAATCAACCTGTTCTCCTAACATCTCTCTAACCGAGTCTGTATCTTTTTCCAATAATTCTTTGCTTTGTCACCTGTCCACCAAACACGGTAATACGTGCCTGGCTTATATTTACATTTCCAGCATCTACCTGACAATGTTTGTAAATATTTTTGGCCAATCTTGCTGGTGGCAGGATAAAAGATGTGATATAAATTTTCTTTATAGGAAGTTGACATTGTCAGTTTATTGTTTCTTTCCCAGAAATTTTGCAATAATAATAATAATAATAATAATAAAGTTGGAAGGGACGTTGGAGGTCATCTAGTCCAACCCCCTGCTCAGGCAGGAAACCCTACACCATTTTGGACAAATGGCTGTCCAGTCTCTTCTTAAAAACTTCCAGTGTTGGAGCATTCACCGCTTCTGGAGGCAAGGAGTTCCACTGGTTAATTGTTCAACTGTCAGGAAGTTTCTCCTTAGTTCTAGGTTGCTTCTCTCCTTGATGAGTTTCTTCTCATTCTATATTCCATCCCAAATTTTTCGCCCCCCCCCCCCCGTCGTGGTTTCTTTTGCTCGTTCGCTTTCCGTTTCCAATGCTAATAAAACAAAATGACACACTTTCTTAAATTAATTTCTCATCTGAAGTTAGCCAAGTCTTATCAGGTGCCGTTCATTCTTGATCAAACCCGTACAGTTTCGCATCTTTTTCGTATCTCGTTTGCCTCTGTAAATGTAAAAATCCAATTTTTTTTTTCTTGCCTCTTTACACCACGGTCCTGCCTCTCCGCCGAGGATCGCCGATGTCCTGGCACCGACCGATGAAACTCTTCAAGGAACTTCCTTGTTTACCTTAAAGGATCTTTATTTGTGTAGCATGGCATCGGCACTCACACAATGGAAGCCAAAATCTGGATTCCTCTCCCCTGAGCACATAAGATAAGAGAGAGAGATAAAATAAGATAACCTTTATTGTCATTTTTTTTAACCAGGCACAATGGCGCGCATTAAAAAAAAAATGAAATTTTAGTTGCCCGCTCTCAAAGCGAAACACAAACACAACACACACCTAAAACATAGTAAGGTTCTGCATTTAGGCAAGAAAAACCAAATGTACAAGTATAGTGCAGGGGGTACCTTGCTCAATAGTAGCAACTGTGAGAGGGACCTCGGAGTCCTAGTAGACAATCACCTAAATATGAGCCAGTAGTGTGCCGCAGCTGCCAAAAAGGCCAACACAGTGCTGGGCTGCATCAACAGAGGGATAGAATCAAGATCACGTGAAGTCTTAATACCACTTTACAATGCCTTGGTAAGGCCACACTTGGAATCCTGCATCCAGTTTTGGTCCCGACGATGTCAAAAAGACGTTGAGACTCTAGAAAAAGTACAGAGAAGAGCAACAAAGAGGATTAGGGGCTGAAGCATAGAAGGAACGGTTGCTGGAATTGGGTATGTCTAGTTTAATGAAGAGAAGGACGAGGGGGGACAGGATAGCAGCGTTCCGGTATCTCAGGGGCTGCCCCAAAAAGAGGCAGTCAAGCTATTCTCCTGAAGGAGAGAAGCAACCTGGAACTAAGGAGAAACTTCCTGATAGTTAGAACAATTAACCAGTGGAACAACCTACCTCCAGAAGCGGTGAATGCTCCAACACTGAAGGTTTTTAAGAAGAGACTGGACAGCTATTTGTCCGAAATGGTGTAAGGTTTCCTGCCTGAGCAGGGGGTTGAACTAGATGACCTCCAAAGTCCCTTCCAACTTTATTGTTGTTGTTGTTGTTGTTGTTGTTGTTGTTATCTTCTCTCCCTCACTCCTTCCCTCCTTCTCCCTCTCCATCCCACTCTCTCTCCCTCCCTCCTTGCCTTCCTGTCTCTCCCTCTCCTTCTGTCTCTCTTCCTCCCACTCTCTCCCTGTCCCATTCTCTTCTTCTCTCTCCCTTTCTCCTTCCCTCTCCCTCCCACCCTCCCCTGTCTCTCTCCCTCTTTCTCCCTTCCTCTCTCCTTCTCTCCCACTCTCTCCTTCTGTCTCCCTCCCTCCCACTGTCTCCCTCTCCCTCATTCTCTCTCCTTCTGTCTCTCTCCCTCTTTCTCCCACTCTCCCTCTCCTTCTTTCTCCCTCCCTCTTCCACTCTCTCTCCCTCCTTTTCTCTGTCTCCTTCTTCCTCTTTCCATCCTTCCTCTCTCCCTCCCTCCTCCCCTCCCCCTCCCTGTCTTTCTTTCTCCCTCCCACTCTCTCGCTTTCCTTCTCTCTCTCCCTCTCTCCTCTCTCCCTCCCACTCACTGTCGCTTTCCTTCTCTCTTTCCTCTGTCTCTCTCTCTTTCTCCCTCCCTCTCTCCTTCTCTCTCTCTTTGTGTCTCTCTCACCCTCCCATTCTCTCTCTCCTCTGTCTCTCCCTTTCTCCCTTCCTCTCCCTCCTTCTCTCTGTCTCTCTCCCTCTCTCCTTCTCTCTCTCTCTTTCTCCCACTCCTCTCTCTCTTTCTCCCTCCCTCTCCCTCCCACTCTTGCTCTCCTTCTCTCCTTCCCTCCCTCCGGTGCTGACGCGGGCGGAGGAGGCGGCGGTGGCGGTGCGGCTGGCGGAGCGGCCGGCAGGGGGAGGCGGGGAAGGGAAGGGGAGGGAAGGGAGGGGAGGGGGCGGGCAGCGGGCGGGGCGAGCGCCATCGCAGCCGGCCACGCAGCGCCGGGAGCCCGCCGCCCGCCCGCCGCTGAGCCGCTTCGGGCCTCGCCGCTTCTCCCGCTCCTTCCTTCCTTCCCTCTTTCCTTCCTTCCTTCCCCGCCGCGCCAGCCATGAACTTCCCGGGCGGGCCGGGCCAGAGTCCCGGCCAGCCTCCTCCACCGTCCTCGTCCCGGGAGGGGGCCAGCCTGGCGGCGCCGGGGGGCTCGTCGTCGTCCGCCTCCTCCGCCGCCGCCGCCTCCGGCCCGCCGCCCTTCGGCCTCTCCAACTCGGCCGCCATCCGGGCCGAGATCGGCCGCTTCGAGTCGGTCCACCCCAACATCTACGCCATCTACGACCTGATCGAGCGGGTGGACGAGCTGGCGCTGCAGAACCAGATCCGCGAGCACGTCATCTCCATCGAGGGTAAGGGGAGGGGGGGGCGCCCCCCTCTGGTGGGGGGGAGGGGGAGGGGGGAAAGGGGAGGGGGAGGAGGAGACCCCCCGACGGACAAAGCCGGACCCCCCCCCCGTCCAAACAGCCCCGTCCCCACCCGACGCCCCCGCTGCGCAAAAGGCACGGGGGCGCACGGAGAGGCGCGCGGAGAGGCACGGGGACCCCCCCTTTTTGACCCCCCCCTGCTCCCCCCCAGAGACCCCCACCCCGGCTGGGAGGGTCCTGGGGGCTGCCCGGCCCCTCCCCGGCCGGGGGTCTCCTCCAGGCGGGGGAGGGCTGGGCGCCGCGGGAAGGACGCGGAGAGGTCGGGGCCGCTGCTTTGTCTCCGCGGCTGGGCGGGGGCGCATTGGAGAGCCCCCCGCGCCCGGGCCGGAAGGCGCGGAAAGGCCGGCCTGGCGGCTCCCGGCTTCGGACCCCGAGAGGGAGGAAGGCGGCCCGGGGCGGGCGCCGGCCCCCGCTGGCCTTCTCCGCCTCGCCCGGGGGAAAGCGGCAGGCTGGCTGCGGCTGAGCGCGGAGCGGGGGTGGGTGGGGGGTGGGGGGTCTCCTGCGGCGCCCCCTCCTCCGCCGCCGGGCCCGGATCGGGCCCCGGCCGGGGGGGGTCTACTTCCGTCCCCCCCCTCCGCCTCCTGCCCGGGATCGGGCCCCAAGCGGGGTGGGGGGGTCTTCTCCTGCGGCGCCCCCTCCTCCTCCGCCGCCTGGCCCGGATCGGGCCCCAGCAGGGGGGGTCTGCTTCCGCCCCCCCCCTCCGCCTCCTGCCCGGGATCGGGCCCCAAGCGGGGTGGGGGGGTCTTCTCCTGCGGCGCCCCCTCCTCCGCCGCCTGGCCGGGATCGGGCCCCAGCCGGGGTGGGGTTGGGGGGGGCTCCGCCTGTCTGGGGGGGGGAGGGAGGGAGGAATGGGGAAGGAAAGCCAGCGGAGAGGCGGGCGATGGGCACAGGCGCATGGGCCTAGCGGCAGGGAAGGATGGGAGCGGGGGGGGGGGACTCGCTCTGGGCTTGTGGTACCCGGAGGAGGAGGAGGAGGAGGAGGAGGATGGGGGGGCAGTAGGCAAGACCCTCCCCCCAATTCCTGCTCTTTTGGGAAGCCCTCAGCACCCTCCCCAGGCCGGAGTTGGGGGGAGCTCAAATTCCCAGAGAGGGGGGAGGGGGCTCACTCCTCTCCCCTCCCTCCCTCCCTTTCTCTCTCTCTCTTCCTCCCTCCCTCTCTCTCCCTCTTTCTTTCTCTCTCTTCCTCCTTCCATATATCTCTCTCTTTTCCTCCCTCCCTCTCTCTGTCTCCCTCTTTCTTTCTCTTCCTCCTTCCATATCTCTCTCTCTCTCATTCTCTCTTCCTCCCTCTCTCTCTCCCTCTTTCTTTCTCTCTCTTCCTCCTTCCATATATCTCTCATTCTCTCTCTCTTCCTCCCTCCCTCTCTCCCTCTTACTCTCTCTTCCTTCTTCCATCTCTCTCTCTCCCTCCCTCTCTCTCTCTCTTCCTCCATCCCTCTCTCTCCCTCTTTCTTTCTCTCTCTTCCTCCTTCCATATATATCTCTCTCTTCCTCCTTCCATCTCTCTCTTTCTCCTTCCTTCCCTCCCTCTCTCCCTCTCTCTCATTCTCTCTTTTCCTCCCTCCCTCTCTCCCTCTTTCTGTCTCTCTCTTCTTCCATATATCTTTCTCCCTCTCTCTCTTTCTCATTCTCTCTTCCTCCCTCCCTCTCCCTCTCCCTCTTTCTCTCTCTTCCTCCTTCCATCTCTCTCTCTCTCTCCCTCCCTCTTTCTCCTTCTCTCTCATTCTCTCTCTTCCTCCCTCTCTCTCTCTCTCCCTCTTTCTATCTTCCTCCTTCCATCTCTCTCTCTCTCTCTCCCTCCCTCTTTCTCTCTCATTCTCTCTCCCTCCCTCTCTCCCTCTTTCTTTCTCTCTCTTCTTCCTTCCATCTCTCCCTCTCTCTCTCTCTCTCTCTCTCTCTCCCTCTCTCTCTCTCTCTCTCTCTCTCTCTCTCTCTCTCTCTCTCTCTCTCTCTCCCCTCCTCTGTCATTCCTGCTCCTTCTCCTGGCTGGAGGAGGCCTGTCGGCCTGTGCTGCAGAGAGGGGGATCCGCAGGCGGGGAGGAGGCGCTGCTGCTCCTCCGGCTGCTCCTGCTGCTGCTCCACGCCTCTCCCTGGCCTGGCCGGGGGCATCTTGCCAGCCTCACTCCTCGGAGCGGGGCCCCCCAAAGCCAAGCCGGACGGTCCCCGGGAGGAGGAACAGCTAAGGTGGTGCCCGGCGATGGCCTGGCCTGGCCTGGCGACCCGTTTTCTTTGTCCTCCAGGCCTGGGGGTGACCCCGGGTCAATACGGAGCCGGATTGCCAGTGTGTGTGGGGGGGGGGCATGAAAGAAACCCATGGTGCTGTGCCGTTGGGGGGGAGGGGGCTCTTGGTCAGGAGGGACTTTCCCCTCACGTAAAAGAAGGGGGGACATGTTTCTGTTTTGAACTCGTCTCGGCATCCGCTCTGTGCCGTTCAGGGACCCGGGAGAAAGGCGGACAGGAAAGGTGCCGTGGCTTATGGGTATCTGCTCCCTGCTTCCCACCCGGGGCCCGCTGGGGCGGGATCTCTGGGTGGCTTGATCCACGTCTCATGGGGGGGGCTTTAGTTTGGCAGCCCTTGGCTCCCTTCCTCCGGCTTCGGGGCCCTGCGGCTGTGTCCTGACCCCACGGAGGGCACTTGGGGAGCCCCCCCCTCGATGTCCCGTGCCGAAGAGGCCCGGGAAGGGCCTGGTGGTCCCAGCAGCGCTGAGGGGTCCTTGCCAACGCCCCCCCCAATCCCAGATGTGTCCGTTACGCCCTTCAGACGGGCAGCGTTCCCGCTGGTTTCTTCCTATGTGTTGGTCTTCTTCACTGCCCCCCCCTCACTTCACTCAGCGACCCCCCCATAGTGATTGCAGGTGGGGGGGCAGGTGAGAGGATGGGGCGCCCGGGGTCCCCCTCCCTGCCTGCCGGGGGGCACTGCGCTTCCAATTCCCACACTCGGCATCATTGGGGGGGGTGCGTGATCGGCCTGTGATTTCCTCCATGCTGGTCCTTGTGGTTAAGTGCAAACCTGAGGTACATCCTGGTTTATTTCGGGACAAGGTTT